GAACAAAAGTAAGAGAAATTTAGGATAAGAATACGAACATGTTCTTGCATGAGGCCCAATGTGTGGTCTGTTATTTTGGAACCTCTACAATTGCTGCAGAAATTGTCCTGCTTTGGATCTGTGCCTCAATTCAGTTTTGTTCTAAAAGACCACAGACAACTCTCTCATGGCATTAAAGGTGTAATTTTCCCTTTTAAAACATTATGTTTAGAGGTCAGACATGAATTTAATTAGACAAATATGGAGCCCCATTAAGTTGTAGATGTATTAATAAAGGACCACTGACTGAATCGGAGCAGAAGAGAGGTGTAGCAGAGAGTTAAATACATGCATAATTAAGGGCCTTTGACTAATTATTATAAGTATTTTCATTTCTGAACGCATTTTGCAACATATTCTGTTTGTCCGTATGAGACACGTTTGCTCTCATTTGCATGTTGCRAAACAAAGCGACAGCTCGACAGACCCAGGCAGAAATAAGTGCCGCGTTTTTAGAAAGCTGACTTTTTAGACGGTGACACCTCACAAGGGAGGAAGGTGGCAAACAGATGTAATTTGTTCATGCATCTGACAGGTGCAGAAAGCTCTCCCCCATTTTTGCTTCACTGACGAGCACAGCGCACGCTCTCCTGTTTCCACATCTCGTCCCTGAGCCGCAAACTAAACCTGCGTTACCTGCAGGCTGGGACCCCTCACCTGAGACTTTGCCAATGTGCCTGGGATCCTGTTTAAAAAAAAAAAAACACCTCTGTGAGCCGTGTTTTCTCGAGTGTAAAGCCTATTTCATACCCAGCCAAACAGCTTGCAGTGGCTCAACGCTCTGCTAGTTTGGTGCAGATGGAAAATAGAGCTGCAGAAGCTCCAGCTTGTTTATTTTGGCATTTGATTGTGATGGAGATACAGTTCATGGCTGACACCCATTAGTTTCTGTGGAGATTTTGAATATTCATTTAAAAATATATATTTAAAAAACTAAAATTTTAGCAACATTTTTCAGTGTCTCGTGACRTTTGTCACACACAAGGATGCTTGATTCTACACTTGAACATATTTAAAATGTATGTTGTAGTGTGATGGTAAAATATTACTCTGATGTTTGCACATAGTTTAACATAAACCACTCACGATGGCCCAGTGGTAGTACTGATGCCTCACACCAAGAAGGTCCTGGGTTCGATCCCCGGTTCGGACCTGGGGTCTTTCTGTGCAGAGTTTGCATGTTCTCCTCCTGCTTGTGTGGGTTTTTTCCAGACACTCCGGTTTCCTCCATCCCTAAAAACACGTACAATAGGTTGCCTTCAGACCCAAGCCTCCCTTGAAAAAGAGATGTGCAGTCTCAACGGGATTTGCCTGGTTAAATAACAATAAATTAATTAATAGCGGTCAGTTCAGACTTTATGCTTCTTTTTTTTAACCCCTATTAGCCAATACTCCATAATAAAAACTATACAGAAGATAAAAACTATAAGAGATCAATTTCATTAAAGTGCATCTGTGTTTTCCTTACAATAACAAAATAAACAAATAATAGCAAAATGAAATGTTTGAAAAAAAGTTGCTATTTGACAATCAACAATTTACTTGTGTTGAATTTCTACAGGATCTCATTTAGTAGAGCTAAAGCTGAAACCTTGTAACACATTCTTGCTAAAAAAATTTGCTTGACTACATAGCAGGTTTGTTTTCATTATTGTCTTTTCTTTTCCTTTGAATTCAAAAAACACAACCCTAAGTTTGAACAATGCAAACAACAACTGCTCTTTATGTCAGACTTTTTATACAAAGGTCACCTTATGTTGTGAAATAACATTGTTTTGGTTCATTCTTGAAAATGTGTGCCATATCACACAATATCCCAAAATCATGCAACATCTGAGCTTAGAGCATGTGCTAGGGACAACTCTCAACTACCACATCAAATTTTAGCTCCATATTTGCACTTTTGACTAAGTTACAGCCATTTTTGTGTGTTCTAAATTTGATTATCTATAGCGTCCATCAAAAATCAGTTGTATGTACAATCAGTATTTACGGTCTGAGAATTTTAATAAAATCCATTTCACAATTCATGAGTAATTTGCATTAATTTAAAAAACTAACGAAATTATGGTCCACCTTTCTGGGATGATAATCCAACACATTTAGTTATGTTAAATGATTTCTCATGCAGTATCTTACAGATGCTTTAACACATAAAAGAAACCTGGTGCTCCAATGCTCAGAACAATAAAACATCTTCCTGTTTGAACCCAGATTTTATACCGTGGCATCAGTTCAGATGAAGTCGACACTAAAGAGTCACAAAAACCTGCATCAATATGATTATCTGGTTTTAAATGTCAGCTCTCTATGATAACTAGAAAAAAAATAACGTTCAAAAACCTGATTTGTAATTCGTTTGGGTAAAAATACATTTACACAAGAAAATGTGACGAGAAACGCAAACACCGGGATGTCATTTCTCCTCCTCCTCATATTAGAGTTTCTTTTTTTCACCTCCACTCTCTCCTTCAATCCGAGCCGCTCATTTCGACTGAATAAACTCTCATCAAAAATGAATTCTCACCACACTTTTAATAAAAAATGATACATATTTGTATGAATCACTCAAAAATAAAARGTCAAATCATGACATTTTAATTAACTGACAAGTTTAAATGGGATTTTTTTTATTTTGTTCTTTGTGAAGAAGGTTGTTGAAAATTTCCAGCTGCAGCAGTAATTTTTACTTTACTTTTGTATAGTTGCAAGAAACAAAGAAACCGCAGCTGTGCTTCTGCTGCTTCTGAATAAGACTGACCTTTAAATRTAATTGTGAAGAAATTATTCTTTTTCCAAAACTGTCACATGCATAAATCTGATTCTGTTATATTCATCCTTTAACATGGTGGGCATGAGGAAAACTAAGATGCTCATTAGCTGGACCTTTCATTCATTGCCTTTTCCTAAAWATAAAAGATAATAGGGTCATTTTTGACATTATCTCAGTTTATTCCATTAGATTTAACCAAAACCCATTTCTTTCAATCATTTTTTTCCAAGCAGCAACAGCAAAACACAAAAGATCCCTTTTGTTGGTGTATTTTGAGAAATTTGAGTCCTAGTTTTGTTTCCTATATAGGCAAAAGTGTCACATCAAAGTGTGAATCTGCAGAGTTTTACAGACATTTTTGTGCTTTCTTCAACTTTGACGCCTCGTTGCACTTCAGCAAGGCCACTTCACTTCTTTATGTGTTTCTAAGAAAAACGGGTGTGGAAATTCAAAACTGGTAAGTCACCGTTTCTTCGGGGGAACGCAGACCCTTTCAATCACAGCTCCCACTTAAACTGTTATATGAAGTCAGCTGGGGGTGGGGTCTCTTAATCAAGACTTTTCAAACGTACCCTAGGCGTTAAACAAGTGATTGCAATAATTAAAAAAGTGAAAATGTCACATTTTTTAAAGGTATATTCGCAAAAGGAAAGTCCTTTCGTCCACATGTTTGGTCCGGCAGCACGTGCTGTAACTGGCCATCTGGTGGATGCATTTGTGAAAACAAACAGCAGACAYACGGAACTAAGAGAACCACCTCTTCTGCATCTGTTTAAAAAAGGACTGAACTCACTTTGCTCACATCTGGTCCTGTCCGTGGTTAACAAGCGGACATTCACAAACGAGCCGAATAGTTTGAACGGATTCAGGAACCAAGTTGCGGACAGTAAAGAGCTGTTCGTCATTTTATATATATTTTTTTCTCCTTAACAACAGAGACAATCACTGAAAACAGCAGCTCAGCGGTAAAGAAGAAGGGGGGTTCTGCTTGACCAAACACATGGTAACATACAGCATGCATGTGAGTTCCTTCATGATGACGGAACTCGTTTGAGATCAAACGGCTCCACAAAGGCCTTGTCTAGATCTGGATCCTTCAATGAGCCATTCGTCCCATCTCTATTACTAAGTGAGTGAAATAAATGACCTCAATCTATCCTGTTATTGCTGTTCCTGTTTAGGAGTGCTAGGAGTTACACTGCAAAAAATGTCTACCTAACCAAGTTTTAAAATCTTATATCCAGCCAAAAAGTCTTTTTTGATCTTGTTTTGAGAC